GGGGGGTGTTTTCCCCTTCTGTGCCCTTAAAAGGAGGGGGGCTTTCACCCCCCAAAATCCCCACGCCCTGATGGGTTGGCGGGAGAATTGTGGGGGTTGAAGTCCACTCATCTTAAAGTGGCCAGGTTGGGACAACACTGCCCTAGGGAATGGTGGTCTTTTAGAGACCCAGATGCCAAACCATATAGAGCTTTATAGGAAGCAACCAGGCATGCAGTAATGGTAAACTATATTGGATGGCCAAAAAGAAACAACCTTCATTATATATGAAGCAGGACAATGTCCATAGTTTTTTCTTGTCTGGCTGTTAATTTTTCATTGCTTATTAACCCCTGCCTGCTTTAAATTAGAAAAGCAATGGACAAGTTATTTTCTTAGTCCACATTTGTGCCATGGTTTAAATGCTCTTTGCATCTAAATGTTTTGGCTGTTATCAGGAAAAAGCAGATTTAGGTGCAATGTCCTGCATTAATGTCAGGACAACCCCAACTGGCTGTGATAGCTCTCATTTGATTTCAAATCAAACTATGCTTTCTTGCAGGTAGGTTCTCCTGAGTTAAGTGGGAAATGTTCATTTACTTATGAAAAATAAATGAGCCTCACTGTCTTCACTAAAGGTTAGGGAAGGGTGTATGCTCAAAGGATTATTGTCCATTAAGCATAAGATAATTTAAGGCAGATGAGAAACATGAAATAAGGCGTGAAATAGGTAATACACATTCACCAACCTAATGTGGTATAGTCACATTTATTTATAATATTTGCTCAACTGCAAAGCCTTGAGCTGCAAGAAACATATTTCAGTCGCATATGTGGAACATGACTCTTAGTAAATCATCTTTAGGATCAGTTTTCCATTGAAGAGAACAGCAGGGTGCAGGTCTACAAAAATCTGCCAACCATTAGATGGCAGAAAACAGAGCTTTATCTCTTTGCTGCCATCTAGTGGCTGTCTGAATTTCTGCAGCCCAGATAGTATTTGCTAATACAGAGAACTATTCCTCCATCTATGCTTAGTGAAAGTGGCAACTGTCTAAAATAAAATAAATAGAAGTGAATATTGTTATATCAGTTTCTTAGACCTGTAAGGCTTATGCCAAGAAAAAAGATTGGACTTACCAAATCCAAATGCACTGGACCCGCCAATGCTCTGCGAAGTCTGAACACTGGTAGATGTATAAAGTCCCGTGACCAATATGCCATCAAAAAAGGTGCTTGTTGAAATAGTCACTGAAAAGGGGGAAAAAAAATATTTTAATATTCTATGGGGGTTTTTTATTTAAAAAAAAATTAGCAACCCTCATTTCCAGGACAGAGATCTTCCCAGCCTTCTTTGGACTCAAATCAGCTGATTCTTTTCATTTATTTATGTATTTAATTGTGAATGTGAGTCTAGATGGCTAACAAAATGTTAAAACAATAAAAGCAATATTAGCAAAGGGGGAAAAAAAATACAGGTAGCCCTTGCTTAATGACCATTTGTTTAATGATGGTTTGAAGTTACAATGGCCTTGGAAAAAGCACTTTACAACCTATACTTGCACTTACGACAGCTGCAGACTGTTGCAAACTATCGTGCCATCCCTGTGATCACATGATTACAATTTGTGACCTCTTTTACAGGGTGGTCATTAAGCGAGTCACCAGGACCACATGATTCGCTTGTTTGTCCGGGTGTATCCTTTGTGATCATTGTACAGGTAGTCCCTGCTTAACAACCACAATAGGAACCGGGAAATCGGTTATTAAGCAGGGCAGTCATTAAGCAAGTCACTACATGACTGGACCCAATTTTATGACCATTTTTATGATGGTCACTAAGTGAATCATGTGGTCGTTACATGAATCATGTGGTCGTTAAGCAAATTTCAGCAAAAAACTTCCACTGGGGAAGTAGGCACCACTGTTAGAACATGTTTCTTCCCCCCACATGGAAAGCAATATAGGCACTATAACACTTTTAGTTTTTTATTTATTTTATTATTCACATTTCTGTCTTGCAGCAATTGAAAGACTCTTGGCTCATAAAGAGTACAAAACTGAAAACATCCATGGTATAGGTTTGCATAAAAACAATTAAAAACAATACAGCTAAGCATAAAAATGCAAACAATAAAAACAAAAGTTACAGATGGTGTGAGAAAGTCTGGGGAAGGCTCTTGAAAACAACTCTGTCTTTAAAAGCTTCTGAAAAGCTTCCATGTTAACATATAGTAATTAATACGCGGATCTTTTTCCTTGACATTAAACCCTCACTTTCTGTATTATGAAACCAATTAAAATACAAGATTAAAACTCAGAGCAGTGTTTCCAAAATCATCTATCTATTTTAAAGAGAAATAATAAAAATACAGCATTTCTTTCAGGTAAACACAGCAATGTCATACTCTTCAGCATTACTGATAAATATGATTTCCCAATGTATGCCAATTTGTCCTATTACCACCTAGATTACACCCATGTTTTTAAAACTCCAGGATTTCTTTTTTTTTTTTTTACAAATATCTAGAAAATCTGGATGGTTCTGAGATTATGGGTAGTTGTGCTATGCCCCGAGTTTCCACAATTAAATAGAAATAGGTTGATCAGGATTGTTTCCATAATGGAAGTTCTACATAATTTTAAATTCCAAGCATGAATGAGAGATTCATGGGATTATATATGTTCAGATATATACCGAATCTGTCATAAAAAGCATGCAATTCACTCAGAGGTTTCTTTATCTACTGCATACCTACAGTGCTGTGAGAAACACCCCTAACACTTTAAATGCCCATTTTGCAAATCTAAGTATTCCTCATTTGTCTTTTTGTATAATAATTTATAGAGTGTATTGTTCCATTTACTCTACAGCCAGGCATCTCTATTAATTGTTGCTAAAGTTATTTGTCATCTTTAATGATCAGAAATAATTCTTACGCTTAATTATCTTTCTGCCATGAAGTGCACACATATTGAGGACTACAGCAGCATGCTTTAAAAGTACATTAAAAAGCCATTCATTTCAACCTGTTTCCGAAACACGTAATTTGCAGAAACTAGGATTTGATTCGGTTGCAAACACACCTATCCCAGTTGGATTTTTTAAAAAAAACATATTTTCAGTAACCCAAATAGCTGGCAAAATACAGTGTACAAAGGTGTCTGTGTAAGAAAAATGCACAATTTCAGCATAGGTGCCTGTGACAGTGGTGAGGAGGGGCAAAAGGAACGAGGTGACAAAACCATGAGTTGTGATACAAACTCTACCCCTTACATACTTGCATGTGACATTATGATGCAAGTACTAAAAGGGTGGAACTTGTCTCATGATGTCACAATGCATGTTTCCTCACTTTGGTGTCATCGTGGTTAGGATGCCTATAGTTTTTAGATGCATTTTACATTACAGTTGAATGCACATCACTGTAGTAAAGTTACTTCTTAAAAATTCAAGCCAGATAATATGAAAAGACTGCCATAAACCACTAGGCAACTTCTAAAACATTCACTGATACACAGGTACTTGTGACTCTTCAAAAAACATATATTACACAAGAAATGAAACTCTGAATTATTTAAACAAGGGGTTCTCAGAATCCTCAGTTCTGTCAGTCACTCAGTCAAAGAACCTGAGTCCTGCCAAGATAAAAACCAAAAGCCCATTTTCTCTAAAAAACACATATATTTACAGACCACTGTTATTATGTTCATTCATTCCAGTAATTTTAAGACAGAACAATTATAGTAGGATTTTCAACAATATTATTACAAGTGTAAAATAATGAGAGCTAATTGGGGTGGAAGTAGTAGAGTTTGTCACCGCACGAACAGTCTTCTTCTAAATCTGATGTTCTTAAACGGTGGATTGTGACCCCACTGAGGGTTCATAAGCAAATGTGAGGGAGGTCACACTTTGGTGATACTGTGCCTCAATAAGTCAAAGGTGACAGCAAGATGGCCACTCATGTATCTCCCAACTTCAGAAGCATCCTGGCATGTTTATTGTCCTGGTGTGGTCTTGCTCCCTCTATGCAGCCCACTAGGTACACCAGACCAGGAAATCAACTCCACAGGAAGGCTAAACTACTTTTACTGAGATTGGCTATAATAACAGAATCTTGCAAGTCTGATTGTGTTATACCTTCTCCTCCTCCTTCTTATAGTTCAGTGAATCTCCGGCAAGGTCTCTCTTTGCTACAGCCTGACCGCTGCTTTCATGTTCTCTCTCGGCATCTTCCCTCTGCCCACCCTACCAGAGAAGGTGAGACTGCAGGCATTTCCGACTTCTTTCTCTATCAGCCATTAGTCTGGGTATAAGCACGTGGCCATTTTGGGAAAGGAAGGCGGGGGAAGAGGCAATGGTGGCATCTCTAAGCAAATCTTGGTGAGGAGAGGAGTGTGTTCTCATGACAAAGGAGGGTCAGTCACTAACCAGGAAGGTGAACTGCTGGAGGGTTTCTGCCAGCCCTGCTCTGCTGCCCACAACCTGCTGTGAGGCGAAAGGGAGGAGGCTTCTTTGCAGACGTCTCTCACTAGGGTTCTTTTTTGCCATCATCCAGGAGATGCGCCTGGACGGAAGCCCTGTGCAGCACTGGCCTCTCCCATTCCCACTCCTTCCATGTATCCCAAAAGGGCTGGCCATGGATTCTGACCGCTGCTTTCCTGTCATGACACCCCTACGAGATAGCTGAGGGCCTCAGTAAGCCAGGATTTGACATGCGGGCAAATCGGAAGAGAGCCCAGGCCAGCTGAAGAGATCTAGGAATCCCTACAGCAGCTACTGATAAGCCTTCTGCTTTTACTGCCCAAGCTAGAGAACAGACTGACTATTATCGTGGTTCCAAATTTCTGCTAAGATGTTCACTGGAGGCTAGTTGCTCTGCCCTTCTGCTTTGTTCTTGGGGGTTTTCCCCTGATTTACGAAAAGGATTTGCATCTCATCTAAATAACTTCTGCAAAACATTGCTACATGGCAGTGCTTGCTTTCTGAATATTCATTTTAACATGACTGCTTAGTACTATTAGTTGTTCCAACAGAAGAATACTGAAGATACTCTATTTGAATAGCCTTAGCTAAGAAAAATCAAAGTGAATGTTCTTAACAGCACTATAGATTAGAGACATTGTTCTGCATTTTCTGCAACAAAGGCCTTGAACCAACTGAATACTAGCCTGACTAAAGTAGGTGGGCTGGGGCATCTGGGGGTGTCCTTCCGAGGGATAGATTAGAGAATTAATGAGTGCTTTGATGTCTTAAGCCTAAACAAAGGCTTGCACACCATTTTTTCTTCTTTCTGCAATACAGAACAAAAATCAGGGAAATTGCAATGTAGTTTCTTGCTTCTCTCCCACAAAAATTCATCAGCATGATTTTCTGGGTGCTGCAATTAAGAGATTATAGCTTTTAGCTAATACTTCTTTAGAAACCATCAACTTCTCTAAAAACAAAACAAATCTCAGAATATGCTACTCAAAAATTGCCTGGGAGCCAAGAACTATGGAACATATCTATAAAATATAACTTAATTATAAGTTATAACTTGAGAGAAAACTGGTATAAAGTGTTTTATGCATGGTATACAACTCCGTCAATTATTCCCAAGATAGGCTAATCATATAGTAATAAATGCTGAAAATGCCATGAGACAGAAAGAAAATTGTGGGCATGTAAAAAACTTCAAAAGCACTGGAAAGAAATCTCAACGCTATTCAGAGAATTTTAGAAATCAAATTTGAAATGAAACCACATTTTTTTTCACTAGGTATAATACCAAGATGTATTAACAAAAAAGATCACAATTTACTAAGATACATGTTCATGGCCACGAGAATAAACTTAGCACATTGTGGAAAAGAGGTATGTTACCAACGATACCAGACTGGGAAATTAAACTTGCAGAACATGCAGTAATAGCAAAATTAACAGCATATATTCATGTTTAACAAAATTTAAGCAAGAATGGCTTCCATATATATTACATATTATGCAGCAAGATAAATGTAAGCATTTAGAGCAATGCTTCTCAAATTTTGTCCTTCATTACCCAAAACCGCTTATTAGAAGGAGGGCACTGGCAGGTGTGTGTCCGTGTGAGTGAAGGGGGGAAGGAGGGTCTGGTGCATGCAAGTAAGCAAAGAAAGGCTGGGGTGGGTGGGGAAGATTTACCAGAGTGACTTTTGATTTACCTTGCCTTGCCAGCTTCCCACTGACTTTGCTTGTGGGAAGCCGACAGGGAAGGTTTCAAATG